AAAACAAAACCATTAGCTTTGACTGTGACGTTACAGTTGTGTGATGAAACAGTTGATTTATTTTCCAGGTGTCTACAACTACCAGGTGGAAGATGATATTGGAAAGCTAAAATCATGCCTTACTGGTTTCCTCCAAGAACATGGGCTGTCTGTAGTGGTGAAAGATGACTATGTGCACGAGTTGTAAGTGTTGTTTTTGAGGTGTGGCTTTGTTGGTGAAACTGCCCGGCGGTTTGTGACTGTTCCTTTCCTGTGCAGTTGTCGCTACGGAGCTGCCGAGCCTCACGCTGTTGCTGCCTTCATGGGAGGTAAGGGTGACACTCCCGGGGCCACTCAAACAGCCTGCTCAGCCACAGCTCTGCTGCCTTACTTGCTCTGGACTCGAGAGAAAAGGCTGCAGCCACAGATGGCAGTAGGGCACAATCTTTGTTCTCGAGATGTGACCTCTTACAGTACCTACAGGGTAATTAAGGGTTCTAATCAGTAAAATAAATACATTTCAAAAACAATCAACTCTTCAAGATTAAAAATGTGTTAAGACATGAAATGCTGGAAAGAGGTTTAATTTTTTTTAAAAGGAAAATGATAATTATAGTAATTTTAAAATTAGTGCAGTACATATCTTTTAGTACACATATGTTAAAGATCTATGAAATATAAGTAGCCTTGGATTCTTACCTTCATTTGACCTGCAAATGTATTTTAATGGATGCCCAAAATTGATATCTCAATTCACTTACCTTCTTTATTTTGCTTCATGCAGTGCTGTAGTAAGAATGTTTCTTACTACAGGAAAACTCAGAGGGAACACACTGAAGTGACCCTGCAGTTTATTTTGCAGTTAAATTTTACCTTTTTTTTTTTTTTTTATTCAGCTCCTCATATGAGAGAGGTCACAACTTGCATGGGTCTGTCTGCTCACCCATTTTTATTCTGTGTGTCTGTACATGGAGAGGAAGTGTATGCAAAGCTAGCTTTTGAAGTAGCAGCTTTCTGATCTTTTATACTGGGAAGTACTGAAGGGCATTTTTGCCTGCTAGGAGATTTATCAGGCACTTCTGAAATAATTCCAATGTAGGGACTTCTAGATAAGTAACATTATTTTACTGTTGTTTAAATATGACCTGCTAACTGCCTTCTGTTTTTTCTTCTCTTTTGCAGGAGCTGCTGCACAAGAAGTTATCAAAGTCATCACAGGGCAGTTTGTAATTTTTAATAACACCTTTATTTACAGTGGAATGTCACAGACTTCAGCAACTTTCCAGCTGTAGGATGAGCTCTTGAATTCGATGCCTCCAGGCGCTGCTGCTGCTG